CTCAAAGTCTACTTCAGGATCTAAGAATAGCTGATGACACACGGTGCATGTCAATAATCTGTGGGAAACATGGGGAGGCAGCAGAAGCACAACGTCCTGGTAGCGCTATGCTGAGAGTCAGTGTTTATATATGGAGCAGCGGTAAGCACTGCTGCCCTTCAAAGCCAGAAAAGCAGCAACTGTTTCGTAGTGACACTGCAAACAGAATCAGAAACCTTTTAAACTGTTATCAAGGCCTTTGACCTTTGAAGCAAACACGAAGTAGCTGGGACCGTTTCTTTTTCATGACAGAGCTCTGCGGTTCTATAAATGTACAATACGTCTGTGTGTGGTCTGACCGAGGCAGCAGGCCCACAGGCTTACAGAGGTGTATTGTCTTTACACTAAATGTAACATTTATATTTGATCAGCAGACCTTAAAGAGAGGAACTAAGGGACTGTAAAGGTGACCCGGGGGTTCATATTACACAGACCTGCACTGTCAAACAAGTACGGACAAGTGCTGAGGAGGGAAACACTGGCTGCACAGGCAGACACACACACACACGCTTGTATTTATTTAATCTGAGCTGGAAAATGTGAGGAATCCAGCAGGTCAGATCATGATGTGCATTCATTCATAGTTAAATGTGACGTCAGGCAAGAATCATGAAAGATAGTTCAATGATATCTCCTGTTAAATCCTCAAACTTTGTGTAACATTTTAATAACAAGAAGCCAAAAAACTACAATAAAATGTTTTATTTTTATTTTTATTTGGCTGTTACAGACACTCAGAACGATGCTATATTTTCAAGCCTTTAAATTATATAACCTACATAAAATCTTACAGTGTCTATAACAGGTTTTCAGCTCCATTGGAAGATTTTTTTTATTTTTTATTGCTTTTCAACATTGAATCATGGCCAATCACAAGAATTTACAAACAAAAGACTCTTCTATGTAAAAATCAAAACAGGTTTTTACAAAGTAATGTCAATTATTAAAAACGTAAAATGCAAAATAAGTGATCACATCATCCCCACTGTGAAGCATGGGGGCGGCAGCATCATGAAGTGGGGTTGCTTCTCGGCATCAGGCAGAAGGTTTGTGAAGGTAGTGGGTGAAATGAATGCAGCAAAGTACAGAGAAATCCTGAAGGACAACTTAATGCAGTCCGCAGGAGAACTGCGACTCGGGAGAAGATTTGATTTCCAGCAACAATGACCCCAAGCAAACAGCCAAAGCCAAAAAGAATTGGTTTAAAGACAACAGAGTGAATGTTCTGGAGATACTGAGTCAGAGCCCAGACCTCAATCCAATTGAGAACCTGTGTCTGGTCTTGAAAAGAGCCGTTCAATCATGACCCCTGTGCAACTTGACAGAGCTTGAGCAGTTTTGCAAAGAATAATGGGGTTAAATTGGAGTGTCCAGATGTGGAAGGCTGATTGACACGTATCCACAAAGGCTCAATGCAGCAATTGCAGCCAAAGGTGCATCTAAATAATGACGTAAAGCGGTGAATGCTTATGTAATTGCTTATCTTAATTCTATATATTTTTAAATACATTTACATTACTTGGTTGAAATCTGTTCTCACTTTGACATGAAAGAGTCATTTTGGGGGGATTTTATTTTATTTTTTTGTCAAAACAGTAAAATTAAATGGACCATGATTCAATGTTGAAAAGCAATAAAAGGGGAAAACTTTTGGATTATTTTTAAGAAAGACATTTCTTTATGAAAATGATCACAGTGACTGAAAGATGAGAATCCAGTCTAGCAGTGTTTCGTGTTCATCATGTGATCTATGACCAGTGGGTGCTAGAGGATGGTAAGATTGAACTGTACAGCTAATGTTCTTTTGTCTTGTTTCCTTTTGTCACTTGAAATTGTATTTAATATTCTTTATATATGCAGGTATACTGAAGTTAATGACTTAGCTAAACAATTACTTGTGTGTGTGTGTATTTTATTATAAATCTGTGCAGGTTGGCTCTGTGGCAGCACCTCACACACAACGGAAAGATCTGCGTTTGTGGATCAATCTGTCATCTGAGCTCTAAAGAAAGGACATGCACATCTTTTCATAAGAACTCAAACAATTAACCAATGAGGCAATCAACATAAATTACGTCCAGCATTTACGAAGCAACTCAAATGTGCCAGTTGGTCTTAATTTCTGGGTTCCCTAATCTGGTTTAAGCTGATCAGACAAAGAAAAAAAAAGAAGAAGCAATTGGAAGGTGTCAGTCTGAGCGTCTGGAAGTCGAGGGCTGCAGTTTTTCCTCACATTTAGTCATTTTATAAATCACGCAATTATCAGTCAATTAGAAAATAATCAGGAGATGAATTAATAATGACAATAATCCTCCGTCGCTGCCCTACTTCGCTCACCAGGTCAAACGCTGACCTTAATTTGGGAAAGGCAGCCAGCGAAATCATTTTCACACCTCACTGTGTTTGTGCAGGCATGCTTATGGTGTGTGTGTGTGTGTGTGTGTGTGTGTGTGTCAGTCTCACTGCCCCCCTCTTCTCTTTGCCTTTATGGTGGGGAGATTAGGTAGTTAATCCAGTAGATCTCAGGGAAAAAGCCTCTCCTGATGCCACAATGGATTTCACTCAGTCCACCAGAGAGAGGACAGACCTGCTGCCGATACGCATCTCGACCTCTGACGGAAACACACACCCAGACGCACGCACACACACACGCTCACACACCCACACACACACTGCACTTCACCAAGGACAGAATATTATATTACATATGTATTAGATGCGTGCTATAAATAACCCCACAACCATATTGACACTAATATAAAACTGTCACGTCTTTTTCCATGTCTTCATCACAATACTGGTTTTGCAATAGCATTACATGTGTAAAATTTACAATTATAGCTGCTATTTTGCCCCAAAAATCCCCTCAAACTGTTCAACAAAGACCACTACTGTGTCATTTCCACCCTGTCAGACATTCTTCACATCTTGTGACAGCACATACAGTTCTGGATTTTCTAATTCATTGATTAAGTCTTTACAAGAGGATGAGCATCCTTGTCACCTCGTCTCATCCTCTGAGCCCCAGCCCACTAATAGACTACATGTCACTCTGCATGACTGCAAATGTAACTGTACAGCTTTGCGTATGCCTGTGAATCTGAGAAGGCTGAGACTGAGAGGACACTGAATCCATCTCGACCTGATCCCAACCTTTGACCTTCCCAGAAGTGACAGGCAGGAAAGTGTTTCCTCTTTGTCAGTCAACGCGGTGTCAAGTTCTACGAGACAAAAAGCTCAGAAGAGGCTTTATTAAATTAGATTTTCTATTTCTTCATTCTTGGGTTTGGATGAGTCGTAGCATTGAAAGACATTAACGGCAATCTGTCAAAGATTAAAGATGTTGAATTTGTGTTTTCTCTCCACTGAGGTCTCATTGATGATCCACACTTCCTCCTCCTCTGTTTGTTTCTACATGAAGGAAAACCTCCCCCCATCTGTTCGTTGTTCGTTAGGTTTGTTAAGTTGTTCCTCCATGAAACTGTTCCGTTCATGTTCCCTCCACTTCCAACATTCAGTTCCCTGTTCAACCCCCCAAACCTGAGCACTGACGCCATGTTAATAAATGGAGCTCTGTCAAGCTGCACAGGCAGAATTCTAAACCCGGCTATGAAGTAAACTTGATTTCAAAATAAAACATAAATTTAAACTCTAACATGGAACATGTCAAATTTTGGGTGAATTTAGTTTTTAAAAACATTATTTACAGGTTAGATGTCAACCAAAATGCCATGTCATAAAATCATATATCTTTTTGTATATCATATATCCTTAACACCCATAACGTATGAATGTGTGTGAATGGGTGAATGAGAAAACACTGTAAAGTGCTTTGAGTGCCGCTAAGGTAGAGAAGCGCTATATAAGTGCAGTCCATTTACCATTTTTTAATTTATTTTTTAAAATGTTGTTACTTTGTGTATGATGACAATAAAAGCATTTCCATTCTATTCTATTCTATTCTATTCTATTCTATTCTATTCTATTAATTTAACAAAATTATCCACAATTCTAAAGTCCATCAGAGAGGAAAAGAAAAAGCAACTATAGACTAAATAAATTTAAAAATGACTGGACTCAATGTAGTAGTCTCAGGGTCTGGATATTGTGCATGCCACAGATCATCAGTATTAATTAGTATGACCGTATAAGTTAGAATTGTGTCCCCCTTAACCAACCTGACAAATGATAACTTCAACTGACATATTAATGCATTAAGAATACACTAAAGTCAATTCATTTGTTTCAACCAGACAATGTGGCAACAACGACTTTCATCACACTTTGTAGGATTACCAATTACTAATTTCTGTTTGTCAAAATAAAATATATCTGTATAATATAATATCATTTTTTTAAATTTAAATCAGTAAAATGTTACAGTTGTATGGTAAAATGTGATCAAAGCATAAAGTACATTTTTTAGATGGAAATTATTTACAGTTTTGGCCTGAATTGTGAAAGAAAAAGAAAAAAAAGCCTGTTATAGTGTAGGGCAATAATTAAATAAATTAAATAATTAACATTCTTGTTACACTTTAAGAGTAGAATTATTTCTCAAACTGATCCAGTCACTGCAGAACATATCCAGACCCTTTCATCTATCAAAACTACATCAGTCTTCACTAAATCATCCATAATAACATAACAAACTTATGCTTTTTAGAAATTCTTGCAAATTTCTTGAAAGTCAAAACCTGAAAGCTCACCTTTATTGTAGAATAAAGTTATTGTGATATCAGAACTGATCGGATATTAACTAAATAAACACGAGTAACCTGCCAGTTGTCAATATAGCCACCTTTTTGTTTTCTTTCTTAGGACACAATTTCACTTTGCACTTCATTACATTTCGCTGCTCAGGTTTAAGCTTTTATTATGACAGCACCGAGCGGAAGGCGCGACTGTTTCCGCGTTGGCAGCTTGACGTGGACGGACTCAGGATGACAGCTGAACGGCTCGTAAAGGTGCAGCAGCTCCGTCCGTGACACCAACAACAAGCACACACGTTCCCGGAGAGAGCGGCGACACATTTCACCGTTTTGTTTTGGGCTTTTTATTTTTCTCTATGTGTGCTTGAGTTCAACGGAGGACGTTTGCGGATAAATTTCTGTCCTTTCACAGCAAAAGAGCGAGAATAAGATCCGGATGTGACAGCAGTGTTGGGTTTTTGTCTTTTTTTTTTTTTTTCTCTCTCTCGCATGGCGTAGGCACCTTTTCTAAAGCAGGATATTGTTGATGTTCGGAGGGTCTGAAGGAGGCCCTCGGGTCCACAGCTAACGATAACTTGTAGAAAATTAGCGACTTGTGAGGGGAATAATGAGCGATATGATTGTGCAATAAGAGAAGAGAGGCTCCGTCCTGACTGAGCAGACTCACCGGGAATAAATTGCTCCAAAAAGAGGACAAGGACGCGTTTTTGTTTTTTTTTCTCAAGGCTCCTGGGAGCTTTGTTTGTTTGTTTGTTTACAAGGAAGAAACCAGGGGACGTCTGAGAGCTTGTGTGAAAAAGAATCTTCAGCATGACGGGCAGCACCCCAGCGGACATGGTGAGACTCTGTTCCTCACTTCTCCATTCACATCCAGCCACTTCCTCAGTCACACCACAAGCAGCATCTCCTCCAGGTCGCTGCATCTGCTTTCATTCATGTGTTTCTCTTCTTCTTCACACATTTAGAAAAGACTGTCTGAATCATAGCTCCTAGTTTGGTGTAAAAGTGGCTCCCTGCCTGATGAGGAATGTTTTTTCAAGGTTTATTTCCTCATGATTTAGAAAGACAGATTGCTCAGTTTCGGGCAGCAACAGGAAACTTTATGTTTTGTTATCTATTAAGGAGAGCATTGTTCTTTTTTTGTGCGTCACATTATCTATGTGTGGTTCAAAAGTGGAGCTAATGTGTTCTATCAGAGCTGAAACACTTCCTAGATTGACATAGATGTCAACCAGAATGGTACATAGTAGAATCATATATCTTTTTCCAAAACATGCATCTTGCAATGCCTTTTAAACTTAACAATATAATCCAAAAATCTGGGTTCTAAGAGTCCCAACACCTTCATCCAAGGTAGCACACTATATAGATGACTTGATGGAGAACACTAACTGTCTAGTTTGACAATTACGCGGCCATTTATCAAAAGAAACGTCAGCTGTTCGTTGCCACAATGTGAGGATTTCCTGCTTTTCTCTCCGTTGCGTGGCTCTAAATGGAGTATATTTGGATTGCAAACTGTTGGTCAGACAAAACAATTTGTTCACAACTTGAGCAGCCTTCGTGCAGTGTTTTCCACTCTTTGAGCAGCTGAAAGAAAAAATGAAGACCGTCTGATTAGTTGTAGAAATAGTAATTGCAGCCGTAACGCACGGAGTTCCAGTCTAGTCATTGATTTTCATATTGTTTGGAAATGAATAAAGGACAATGACATCCTGGAAAAACAGACCAAATAGATGGATCACACTCGAAACAAGAGCGAAGGTTCTATTCATGGGTTTGTCATATTATGCAAAATTAAATGGAAGACAATGGGCATCCTGGAAATGTAGAAAACACACATGGATTAAACTCAAGACATGTACTGAGGGTTTATTTATTGATTTTCATGTTGTACAGAAAAGAATGGAGGACAGTGACATCCTGGAAAAACAATTAGATTTCACTCAAAGCAAGTGTCAAGAGTCTGTTGATTGATTTTCATATGAGTTAATAATTAATGGAAGACAAGGGCAGCCTGGACAAGATGGATTACACTTAAAACAAGTGTCAAGATTCTGTTCATTGATTTTTCACATTATGCAAAATTGCATGGAAGACAATGGCATCCTGGAAATGTAGAAAAGAAAAAAACAGAATTTAAACAGATATCATGCATAAATTGATTGATATTCATGTTGTCCAGAAATCAATGGAAGACATCCTGACAGAGTTCACTAATAAGTAATGGAAGATAATGGCGTCCTTGAAAATGAGACAAAACTACATGAACATTTCAAAAACACAGCTACATGGTTGGTAACATGATTAACTTTGATGTTAGGTAGTAAGTTAGCTAAAACACAGGCTACTATAGTTGTTTATATTGTAATTCCCAGTTCGTACTGGTCATACTGGCTCCCAGCGTTCCTCTCTGATGTCTAACCTGTGTTTTTTATCAAATCAAAGCTCTGTCCTCTCGCTGATCTCTACTGTATACTTTATGTTTGGCATTTTACGTCACGCAAAAGCTGCTGAGAGACTGGAATTTCGAAGGCTTGGTGCTGGTTTTACTGGTTGTCGTGTGATAATTGCTGTTAGAGGCCCAGTAAGTCGTATACCTGCTGACTTTAAACGTCTCATCTATGATCATCATCAGGTGACTTTACAATCCTAGTGAACCCTCTCAATCACTGTCTTCATGTGACATGTTAGCTTGTTTTACACTGCGGTGCGTGTTCTGAGCCCTCATCATAAAGATTTATGTCTGCCTCTCGTGGGTAAGCAATTCCGCAAATTAAAAGGCGTGTAAAATGCTTTTCGTTGGGTTTACCCGGTCTTAGACGTAATATTTCCCCTCCGTCTGGCAGTTCCACGTCTGTCGTATTTGCTGCGAGCGCACGGTGCTACTAAGAATACTTGCAGGTCTATGTATAGAAAGGATAAACCACGTAATGTGCCCTCCACGTAGAGATCAGCTATCCCAGCTGTGCCTGTGGCCCTGCCTGTCCAAGTCGAGCTGATCCCCTGAACAGCAGGTCCATTATGTTGCCAGGATGTCGGGATAATGCTGTGAGGAAGTTAAATGTGAGCCGGCCTTTATGTATATGTGGCCCAGTCAGAGCTGACACATCGCAAGGAATTCCTGTGGATTATGAGCTTAATCATGAGCTCGAATCTTTCATTTTCTGACCTGTTATGACTGGAAGTTAAATCCACGAGAATCCTGAAGAATATTCATAGAAGGTCTTGTGTTGGGTCACCGTGTTTGTGGCTTTGTCCGGTATTATTCTGAGTCAGTTTGAAGCTGTGGCGACTTTAATACTCTTCCTGTTTTCTTGTATATTACAAAAGTGGCACAATATTGTCAACCAGCCAGAGAACTTTGGTTTCAAGCCTCCTGCTGAAGTGTCTTAAAGCAAAACACTGAACTCACCAGTACAGCCTGGTTTGTGTTCTGAGGATTTCCCTGTTGGGGAAGTATCACATTATTATTGTATAATTTATCGTGAGTGGTGGGCAGAAAATTCATTTCTTCAGTGGTAAAGTAATAAGATTTATTTTTTATTTCTGCGGCTGTAAAGTAGTAATTTTTTCATCTGCTGACTTTCAAGCGGCGCTCTGAAGGGGTTTTATTCATGCCAGCGCTGCATGCTATTAACATGCCTGCAGCAGAAACACAAAGGTCAAATTCTGCACATAAGTAAGACGTTTCAGGTTTTCTAATCTTCAGAACAATTGCTTCCTTTCGTGGCGCAGCTCATTCTATACATCAAACCAGCTCCTTGCAGTCCCGAAGGAAATTTGGGGAAATATCAGCTATCAGCGTTTAACTGTTCCTGTGTGGCTGAAATCAGCAGCAGATGCACTCCCTTCGTTTTCCCCCCACAAACTCTCCTTCTCTGAGCCTGTGGAAGGAGCAAGTGTACACTCACATACTTATAAAGGCTGTATGGAGTGGGAGTGAGAGTGGGAGGAGAGGAGATTGCTGGTGCCAAACACTGTGGGTGAATGAATCTGAGAGAGAGAATAGGAGAAGGAATAGTCATGCCTCTCGAGAATGGAGGGTGGGATTTTTTTTTTCTTTTCTATCTTCGAATGAAGTGAAAGCAGGAGGGGTGTGAAGGATGGGAAGGGGGCAAATTACCTCGCTCCGGGCAGAAGTGCTGACGGGGTCGAAATGGTCCCCATGGCAACAGCGGGACGCTCGTATTCGAGGTCTGGATGAGTTTGTAGACGATGCACTGCAGGTATGTGTGTTGAAACAACAAGAGATGAGTTCAGGAACAGGAGGAGAATAAAGCGCCTCGGTTCAGATAAGCCCCGCCGAATGAATACACGACAGACGAAAGTCCCAGAGAGCAGAGAGTGAATTTCAAACATCACCTGCTCTCGATATGTCTCAGCACAGCAGACACGACGGGGAGATCCAGCTACACAGACAGTAGGAACCGTGATGCTTCCACCTTATCAGATTAAACTAATGCCATTAAGCACTGCTTGTTGAAAAGCTGTTAATTAAAAAATAACTTTTTGGTTAACCTGGTTCCATCCCTCTAAATTGCTGCTCCCATCTCACATTTTTTCAGTGATTCAGAAAAGTCTAGGGTGGGGGTAAAAATTCTAAACAATTTCCATAGCCAGCCACGATAACAATCCGTGATTGATTATATGTCAAAATTAAGTAAGTTTATCCAAATGCTAATACAACAGTTTTTAACCGCTAACTCTTCAAATCCTCCTTGATTTCAGCTCTGTTACATTAGCAATTTGAAGAACAAATCAAGTAAACACCAAGTTACTTATTTACAAATTAAATAGCAAACATCCATCCATTATCTATACACTGCTTAATTCTCACTAGGGTTGTGGGGAAATAGCAAACAATAATGACTTAATTTAAAATTACTTGCCAGCAATTTATCTGGTATTAAACACAGACAACAAGCTGCAGTCTTCCACAGTAAGTGTCTTGTAATCCTATTAATCTCTTCACAGCAGTTTGACATCTAAATAATCTTCATACCTGTTCTAATTGGCATTAGTCCAGCCAACTTTACAATGTCTCACCAGTTATTAGTCCAGGAAATTTGTCAATGTTTACTGCCACCACTAAAATACACGTTTCCTTATACACTTTATTACTTTGTTTGCGATCAGACTCCTGCTGTTCCTGAATGTTAGCAGCATTAGCAACAACAGCTGATTTCTAACCTAGCGTTAGCATGAGCTAATTAGCTAAACCAGACATCATCCAGACACTTTTTTTTTTTTTAACAACTTGATGCTGCAGAATTCATCCACAGATAGCAGCGAGGTGTTTGATGCATCTCTTACAGGCATCATTGAAAGACCTCGCCTTGAAATTTTGAGAACGTGTCACGGACATTTTAATCGAGCAAACAGGTTATTCGATAATGAAAATAATCCTTTGTTTGAAGCCAATCAGAGCTTTGTGGGCGGGGTGAGAATGGTAACAGAAATTCTGATTAATGGCAATGAAATCCAAGCAGCTACAGGCAAAGTTTGTGTCATAATCAACACCTTGAGGTCAACTTGACAAGAATTAAATGAACTGCTCCTAGGAACCTGTAATTAACATGACTGCGTGCTTCACCTCCTGGTCATAAGAGCTTATTACGACATGAACACATTCCGATATGAGGAAAAAAACTGGCACACAGATCCACTCATACTCACTCAGCGGGTTGCATCCAGACACCCCGTCATTTGTGCCACGGTGAGAACATGTTAATTTGTGTCGGAGGTGGAAATCACAGGCCTGATTCAAGCAGACCAGGAGGTACGATAGAACGCTTCAGACCTCAGGCCAAATTGTTGATTAGTAATAATCAGCA